ATGGTCCAGGATCAGTCTCCAGCACGTGAGTACCTTGAGAAACCCCATCAAAATAAAAGGGGAGATGCACTGCCAAAACAATTGCTTTGTCTATGAAGTGAGAGAGAGAGTCTCTGGCTAAAGAACTGCTGGATCACTAAAGACAACCATAAGATTACACACAGGACTGGGAAGGACCACCAGGGTCACCAAGCCCAGTCCCCTGAAGATTGGAGTCTTCATCACCACTTCACCTCCAAGCCAACCTTCAAAAAGCTCATGCATCAAAAACAAATGAAAAAAAAGAAAGGTGTCCCTCCTCCCAAGCAGAGGTTCAATTTGCAATCTCTCCAAAAAGACTTGTTGCCAACACACCAAATATTTACACTTACACCAGTATGAATTGCAACATATGCATAACAAGGAATGTTAGGTTTCCTAAATTCATCAACTTAAAAAAAAAAAAAAAATCTCCACTTCCCCCTTCTAATCATTTACAGGTCTATGCCCTTGGGATCACGGTTCACTTCTCTCCCAGCCTTAGCGGCTAGAGAGACTAAATGAAATCTTGACATACAGCAGCAACTGGAGTTAAAGAGAAATTATTTGGGCACATCATTCTAGTAAAGCAGCAGGGTACCACATCCCCAACCACGACGATGCCCGTCGAGATTATAACGTGCTGCGCTACATTTCCGCGTCTGAAGCATTAAAAATCACAACCATTTTAACATCTCTCCCTTGAGGGGAACAGTACTGTGAAAACACATCAGTCACAGCCAAAACTATGTTAAATACTTTGCTAATTCAAAAGAAAAGCAAGCACACAGCACCTTCGAGATGGTGGTATTTGGGGATACTGGACTTTGATGGGGGCCAAGCCATCCTCAGGCTGATACGGTTTATCCTCAGGGATGGACTGTTTCAGTGTAATGCCCAAAATTTAACTCCGTATTTGTTCATCTTCTGAAACTGTTGCACTAATTAAATAATGAGCTAGTATCAAAAAAAGTGCTAAATCACAATTGAATATACTTTAAAAAAAAAACCCCAACCCCAACCCTTCAGGGCATAACTGCATTTAAAAACGAGACAGGTGCACGAGAGGCCGGAGAAGGGCGTCGTCTCCAGGTATTCAGTGCGGAAACGGGAAGAAATTGTGTCCTTGCCATAGAAATGTCAAGTATTGCAATGCAACAGTTCTCTGTCGGGGAAGCGAGCTTTGTACCATCGGTAATACTTGGCCACAACCACTCTGGGGTGAAAGATCCTTTGCAGACAGACTCTTTTCCTTAAGTTATTTCCATTTGCTATAAAAGCGCAGAGTAGCTTTGAAAACAAAGGATGCAGACTTACCCTGCAAGGCTTCTCACACTGGAGGAAGTTATTTCCAAGAATTTGGCGTTCTCTACTGTTCACCCGGAATTGAAGCAAATTTAAGTACCGTTAGAGATGCGCACACCACTCCCACTGCTAAGACTTTCTATCGGACTCCTTGCCGGACTGTGTGGATTCTCGGTAAATAAGGGTAATTTTTTTTTTTTCCCTCACCAAAAAACTGCAGTGCTACATTTAAACCGTGAACTGGATTTGCTCACACGTTAAAAAAGAAACGGGTCGAAAGACGTTTGTCTCAAACTAGAAAAGGTGACATCGCTCTCGGCCTCGGAAGTCTCAACTTTCCTTTGCTAGAAATGATGGAGAGAGCTGCTTTTCTCAGCCGGTGGCTGGGATCCCTCTCCCCCCTCTGCTTTGGGAGCCCCCACCGAGCAGCCATGCACCCACTCCGAGGCAGACACCAGTGCCAGATGGAGATGATCTTCGCGTCAGCAGGCCACTGCTTCTTAGGTCTCTGCCCCGTTACTACATTTCCGTGGTAGGAGACAGCTGCCCGGAGATCAGCTTTTCAGAGGCAAACAGAAAGGAAGATAATGGAATGAATGATTTCCGAGTCATACAAAAAACAAGTGCTGGGAAAGATGAGGCGTACGGCCAGGAGGAGACGAGACGCAACCGTGAGGGTTATGGACACACAGCGGAAGCGTTGTAGTTCAGGCAGGGCTGCCTGTGAGCCCAGTGGGGTTTGGACGGTCACCCTTAGAAAGGCACATGCTCCAGTGACCCGGTTTTAGAAGGTGCTGAGGAACCTGCCCGTCCCAGCCGACAGCAGGGGGAGACGCAAGAGCTCAGAGCCTCTAAAGTCAGGCGTACGTGGGGGCAACTGCATGGTAAACACTTACACATAGAAACTGCACTACTGCCGCTATCGTTAATTCAGTTTTTCTTTGAAGGATATAGAAACCCTCGGGGCGCTCCTACAGCTTGGAAAGATGCTGATCAACCCCAAACCCAACCGCTCGGAGCACCTCAGACACAGCAATAGTGTGCTGCCCACAACTGCAGCACTTTGGGCAACTGCAGTGCGACTTCTGCCTTGGGGGTCTTTATGCAGAGGAGCACTGGCTCCATGGCATACGAAATATATGTACTAGACTGAGCCTTCCCTTTTGGTTTGGTGTGGGGTTTTTTTGTTTTGTTCTTTTTTGGTTTTTTGTGTTTTTTTTTTTGCTTTAAGACAATCCTTTTAGTTCTCTCACTTGGGTTCTTACTAGCCTGGCCCTTATTTTGAAGTCAGTTTGCCGCTCCGTGCCATTAAGGCACAAATGACTTGGGAGATCAAACTATCAAACTCATTCCTGAGAAAGAGCTAAATAAAGATTTTGAAACATCAGATTTCACCGCAAGCCTGGGGAAACAGAAGCTTTGAGGCAACAGCTCTAAAGCCCCAGCAAAACTCCGGCAAGCTTCTTCTAGCCCCCAAATACCAGGTGCAAATAACCCAGGGCTGCTGTTCTGCCCCCTCCCCACTGATGCCAACTGGTGATCATGAAGGGAGATTTGGGGAAAATTCTAAAAGCTATTTTGGAAATGGAGCTTTACTGGGATCCGAGTGCACCCTCTCCCCCACTTAGGTCTAAGATCTCCACCGAGACACGTCAGGCAGAGGTGAGTGGGTGGCTGCCACCCACCTTTCTTCACAGCTCTCTAACACAGACCCACCATCACCACCGGCTCTCCAAAACCGGGCTGTGAGGGGACTTTTGCCAAGATGCAAAACCCACGGTGAGTTCAGACACCCACGTCGGTGAGCTCCGTACAGCCCAGCTACCTGCAGCCCCTCTCCTGCTGGCCCCAGGCAAGGGGCGACAGCCGCTGCCTGCGAGGAGCTGGTGGGGGTCCGAGATGCAGCTTTGACGCAGCTTTGCTCGTCTGTGCGAGTTAATTAAGTACTTCCTCTGTCAGGAGAGGGAGGCTGAGCGTCGGGGGTTTGCTGCCACGGTGTGGAAGTCGCAGCGTCTTTCACTAAAGGGTCTTAAAACTGCTCCGCAAACGGAGCGAGGCTCTCACCCCCGGGAGGGCGGTAAGAACGTCCCCAGCCCGTACACGGGGAAACTGAGGTAAAGAGAGGCCAAAGTTGCTTGGGCACACAGCACGTCAGGGAGAAGCAGCACTGGGGCAGGAGTCCTGCCTCCCAGCACTGTGAGTCATCACATCATACACCTCCTCCTCCTCCTCCTCAGTTTCACCTCACTGAGCTTTGCGAACGCGAGCGAAGGAGCCAGCGGTAGGACCACGGATGGCTCGCGGGGGACTTCGCGGGGTCCTGACCCGCTGTATGGCATTCCCTGACCTGTCCCAGCTCCTCTCCAACCTGTGCCAAGTGCCCTACGGTCTCATACAAACGATTCCCAGTCACATTCTGGAATTAAAAGCTGCTTCTACTGAGATACTGAGATACACAGAGAAATGGGGATGTTCTCCCAGAGGAAAAGCACGCGCACTTGTGAAACGGGCAGGAAAGGCAGCGGTGCCCAGCGCGGAGCCATCTCGAAGTGAAATCCTCGCTCTCGAGGATGGAAGGCGACAGATGTTTCAAGATCCCTATAGCCCTCATTGTGCAATGGTTTGTGGACTGAAAACACGCTTTGGGATGGGCAGCAGACTGATTTCAATCACATTTCTCCCTTCAGCAAAAAAAAGCGCAAGTGCAGTAATGCGCTGAACACAGCAGAGCTCCGTCTGCTTTATCAGAGCTCTTCCAGCGCAGCATCCAGCCCTGCTCAAACACCCTTCCTCCCTTCCCAACACGGGGCTCACAACATGTGCCTTTAAAAGCTTAACCTCTTTACAATCTGCCAAGTGAGAACTATGCCCATAGCTCACGAGAAGTTTGGTGAGTGTAAACAGAAGGACTACTGGGGGGAAAAAAAGAAATCCTACAAAGGGACTGAAAGGCATGCAACCAAAACCGCACCGCATCTCCGAGAGGGGACAGAGCTCACAGTGGGAACGATCACACGCGGCCCAAACCAGTGCTCCCGTCAGAGCAGGTTTTCTGCTCCAGGCTTCGAGGGGAGAGATGGTGGGCGAGGGTCCCCGTGAGGAAATCTAGTGAACGTGTGTTATTTGCAGAGAGCATCACAGTGGTTAGTGTCGACTCGAATGGCAGGTAAGAAGAGGGGTGAGTTCACTGGAACAGTACGCAGCCGTGGCTCAGTCGGGAAGAAGAGGGTCTAGGAGGAGGGAGTGCGTGCACCGCAGAGACAAGAGGTCTCCATCAGTCCAAGGATAAGAAGGTGAAATAGAAAAAAAGGCCTGGGGAGTGTCACCTTGCCCCAGGGATTCACAGTGCCAGAGCGAGGGGAAAGACGTGAAAACGGCAGGCGGCTTCCTGGATCCACATCTCCGATTCCCCCAGCCTGCATCCCTCTGCACCTCCCACCTCACAGATATCTAACAGCGCGTTACCCTTGTTTCCGAGTAAGGAGAATTCACAGTGTTCAGTAGTGATCAGGTACAAAAGCCGTTTTAAGTCTACAGTCTCCTAAGTGCTGCTGCCTTTGACGTAGTGCCTACGCGGGGCTCAGTGCGAGCAGCTGGAGGAAGAGGGAGTTTAGAACAGCAGACAGATCAGATCGCAAAGGCACGGTTAGACTAGGTGGACACGGGGTGTGTTTGCTTTAGAAGATAGTGGTCTCATACTTAGTGCTGAGGGTCCGCTTGGAGTCCTGTTTGGGGTCCACGACCCAGGAGACACTGGCATGAGACTGGGAGTCTTGGTCCACTTCAGGGGGCTCCAGCTAGAAAATAAGGAGAGAAAGGGCACGTTAGGTCCCCTGCGCTTCTGGGACAGGACGAGTGGGGATTCAAAGCACGGAGCGGCTGCTGCTCTGCCTAATGCCCGTCCCAAAAACGTGCACGTGTGCGGGGAAAGAGCTCTCCCTAGGGAGGCATTTGAGTCCTTCACAGCTAAAACATGTCTAGCCACGTCAGCCTCAACCCAGCACCCGGAGATGACTTCCTGAGTTAGGGCTGCAAGCCCCTATTACCGTTAGCGACAGCTTCACTTCGTCTCGCAAACAAGCGTGAAAAATTGAGCGCTATAAAGATGGCACTAAAGAAAAAATAAAGTAAAAGAGGCAGAGGGAGAGAGAGGGAGACAGCTCCTGGCAGGTGAGCTCCCATGTGATTTACTCTCCCGACCAAGCCAGGCTCTTTCATCTTGTCCTCCTAAATCAGGATCCTACAGGAAGGTTAACAACACCAGAAAGAGCAACGCAGTTAGTTGAGAGCTGCCACTCTCCATCAGCGGGGGCGGATCTGAGCGCTTTGTCCCTGGGGTTCAGCTGAGCCCACGGCACGGCCCTGGAACGAGCGGGGAGGGAAGACAGCAGCGAGGCAGGACACGGGACCACAGGAGGGGACGCGGGAAGCGGGGAGGCAGGCGGGCCGGTGGCGGCTGGGGCAGCCCGGGTCGGTTGGTAATGGAAGATGGCAGGAAGAAGGGTAAAGACCTTAGCTCCGGGACTAACAGACTGCAGCGGCAGGTAGGAGGGGCGGTGTGTTGTACAGGTGTGACAGTAACAACAGCGAGTGTCGGGAGGGAGCGGCACCTGAGCGGGGGGAGCAAGCAGAACACAGACAAAAGGAGACATTAAAGGAAGGCAACGGCTTATGCAGCAGTCCCTGCTCCTCAGCAGCTCCAGTCTTGGCTGGTTTTGGCTACAGGGGCACTCACGCCCCTGCTGCAAACGGCAGGTTACCTACTGACCTTCCCGCGGCTCTGCAGGGTTTGCACACGGAAGCTGTGCTGGACCCAGCAGCGCACTTAGCCCCCATCCCACCCGGGCTACGTCCACCTCTGCTTGCCCTCATCCTACCGGGGGAAGCCCTAACGCGCAGCAGGACTGCCAGCAGAGCCGCGGACACTGCAATAGCAGCGGTGCCTGAAGCTACCAGCACCGTGTCCGCACCCCGGCTCTCCCCACCACGAAGAGGGAGGTTTAAGCGTGTGGTGCCCAAAAGAAATCCCAGCTCGGACCATGCAGATCGCACCCGGCCCGCACATACGTACTGCAGATTTCCTCATGCCGGCTCGCGGTTTAGGCACCGGTTTGGAAGATTTTGTTTCAATCGTTTCTCCTGCTGCAGCGCCCAGAGGCTTCGCTCTCTGGGCTTGGAGGGCCAGCTGGTAGGCGACCTCGAACGCCTGCCCCAACGTGAGGATGATCTCGTACGTCAGGTTCTTTGGGGAGACCACAGAAAACACAAAGCCGTTAGAAGCACATGAGCTACCTCGCCCTGCGCAGAGTCCGTGTGCTCCGCAGCTTGCTCTGGAGATGCAGACCTCGGCAGAGCCCATCGCCTTCCCGTTAGCGGGTCGCATCCTGCCGTATCCCTGGGAAAGCTGCTGAGCTCCTGCCCTGCGGGGCAGCCAGCACCAAGCCGCCTCCACGCTTGCACAGCCCCCGCCGGTGGGGCCACCCGTGAGCCTGCTACAGCCCCGTGAGCATCGCAGTTTAGCAGCATTTTGCGTTGTAAAGAGAAAAAGCCCAAATGTCTCGTACAGCTGATTCTGCCCCAGAATAAAAGCAAGTTATGCTTCCACATGCTCAGTGAATTAAAAGGCTGTTAAATCAGCCTATTACGCTCAACATAATTGAGAGCGTATTAGGGTTTTGTTCACGGCATATTCCCCAGGAGGGAAAAACTCCTGCCCTGCTTTATTCAGCACTGGAGGCTGCAGTAATGAACCCAGACAAATATTCTCTTTGTCGACAGAGCTCCAAAGTAAAAGCATTTAGAGCCAGGAGTCTGAAAGGAGTATTTTAGGGTAGAAACAGGTAAAAGAGACCTAGAACGGACCAGATCCTGTTCTATGACTTGCCAGTACAGCTGAGTGATGAAGTGAATGGCAAAGGGCTGCAGCGCGCTGGGAGATGGGATGCGATAACCCACTCACCACATCCACGGTGCTGAAGACGTGGCAGTAGTGGTGGCTGGTCTGCAGGTCCTTGGTGATGTAGGCGAACGTGCAGAGATCCTCGGGGTCCTGAGCAGCGCAGGAGATGTTCCTGATCTCGTGCTCAGCAATGACATTCTGCCGGGGACAACCACAAGCACTTGTCACCCTTCTGGGGATGGCAAATACACCCGGCAAACGGTGGTCGCGGCAAGCATGTGCTGGGGCCAGGGAGCAAGGCAGAGAGAGGGGGGGTCTCCCATCCAGACCGGTCCTAGCTCCCTCCCATGGTAGGAATAAATGGCAGCATGGTCCACAAGCAGCCGGTTTGCCCAGCCTTTGGCATTCAGATAACCATCGCCACCTTGGTGCTCTCCCGCAGTGCCGAGAAGCCGTGCTCCTCAGGATCAGCCGTGGCTTCTGGAGCCGCTAGGTATGACCTGCAGCCCCCCGGGCAGGTGGGACTGTAGGTCTCGTCCTGCCAGACACCAGCTTCGAGGCATGTGAAGCTCACCTTGTTAGAGGCGTCGATGAACTTCACCCCCTTGTACGTGATGGACAGTATTATGGTCGGGATCTTCTTCATATGCTCTGTGGATTTCTTCAGGAACAAGAACATTCAAGTGACCAGTTATGAATAAACGGTCCCTTCGTCACCACCGTCCCGGCCCACCCCAGAGACCCCCAGGCCACTGCCCCACAAAGGCAGCCCTTGGGGGTCTTGGACCAGGAGGCGGAAAGCCTGCTCTTGGTGGAAGCAGAGGGGAGGGGGATCTGAAGCAAACCCAGCACCCCTTTCCCCAGTGAGAACGCCCATTCTCCCCCCGCACAGACCTTCCAACGATGGGCAGAAGTGCTCGGGGAGGGGCAGTTCACCAGCGACAGCAGCACAGCCTCTTACACGGCCTGGGCCCCCGCTCCACACACGGGCAGCCCGCAGGGTTTGGGGAACCGCAGCTTCACTGAGACCCCCCACTCCCCTCTCCGCATCACCCACCACAGGCTGTGAGCGAATCCCCCCGTCCCCGCGGCCTCCGTACCCTCATCTTGGCACAGGCGTCCTGCGTAGACTCTGTCCCTCGGAGGTCTTTGATCAACATGGAGCCCAAGTACTGTTTGGAAGAGAGATGTTAGAGGCAAACCCAAAGCGGTGCCACGGCCCCGCCGGCGGCCAGCAGCCCTGGCTGGGGAGGGACAGGTCACCCAGGGAGGGGGAAGAAGTGTGACAACTCAGCATGCAGCGCCCTGAACCCTCCCCATCCTCACCACCCCCACAAGCCAAAAGCCACTTACGTTGGCCTCGTACCCGCAGGACTCGAAGATGAGCTTCTCCGGCTGATGCTGCCAGTTTTGGACTGGGGCGTACGGGGCAGCCAGGCTGGGGGGGCGCAGGGTCAGCTTTGACTCCCGACGGTCCTCCTGGAAGGGGAGAAACATGGATGTGAAACCACAACAGGGCCAATGTGGATTGAAACACAGATCTCAGGAGGGCTCTTTGGGTTGATGTAACTGAGGGGCGCAATGGCCACATCCCACAGGGACTGGGAGGAGGCAGCACGCTGCCCGGCGAAGGTGCCAGCGCTGATGGAAGTGTGAGTCACCCGTTTTCAAGGTGAGACTGAGCACAAGTGAGCTGCTGGCTCTAATGCCTGAGGGAAGCTGTCCCTGACCAGCTCTCTGGCCCTCCATGCAGCATCCTAACGCCTCGCTGGCTCCAGAGAGAGGGGAGCCTGCGCTGAACTGCACCGAGGGGTCCCCAGGACACATAAAAGCACCCACTGACCTGTGCTTTGTAGCGCTCAGCTCTGGAGTAGGGAGCGACCTCGGTGCCACGGTCGTGTTGCCTCTTCGCGGTGTCCCCGGAGGGCAGGAGGAGATCGGCAGATCTGCCCGTGCAGGAGTCGTTCTGGCTCAGGGGCGACGACGTCTGGGACATCAAGTCCTGGCACTGAAACAAGCAGAGGCCACCAACCGTCCCGGGTCAGCCTGTGCTGCAGCCGTGCCCACCCCTCACTCCCCTTCACAGCATCCGACGCAAAGGGCACAACGAGCAGCGTTAACAGGGTCACCTCCTGCTCTGCAGGCTCCTGCCTCAGTGTCATCAATCCCACCATTTATTTTCCATGTGACACCCCCGATTTGCTCCAGGACGGTTTTGGGCAGGCATGCAGCCCTTTCTGCCGAGCACACTTCCACCTCCCGTGAGCTCGTCCCGGCAGGGCAGGAGACACGCTGAGCTGCGGGCAGGGTGTTCATAGAGGAACAAGCTCTGCTAAAGCACTGAGCAAAGCACTCAAAGCCGCTGACGATCAGCCACCCCAGGAGAAAAGCCCTGGGAGCCCGGCGAGAGATCAGCCCAGATGCCTGACAGCCTGGCTCTTACCGCAGGCAAGATTCGCTGCCTGTACGTGCCAACGGGCCGGGCAGACAATGCGGGAAGCTCACAGCTGCAACACGCATTAGTCCTATTCAACGGACTTGCTTAATTTGCCATTGACGTCCTTCCGCTCCCCACGCCGGAGCCAGGCGCTGGATGGCACCAGCTGGAGCACCAGGAAATGCTGCAAATGGCCCATTCTCTTACGCAGCCTCCCCGTCCGGCATATCAATCAGTTGATGCTGCACCAAAGACCTCTTCTCCCCCCCTCCAACAGCTCTGCCTTCACTCCCATCGGTCTCAAGAGGAGGTTTCAGGGAAGCGCGGATCCTCAGCTGGCTGCTGCCCCGTCCGGGTTTTTGTTGTCGGAAAAGGGGGCGGTTGAGCAGGGGGTGAAGGCGCCGGGTTTGTATGTGACACCCTCCCGGCTCCTGAGCAGACACTCCTTGAGCAGTACCAGCGTGAACTCCCCTTTTTCTATTAACATCTGAACCCCCATTCCTAAAAAATCCAGTGTCAGCAAGCAGGGGGCACAGCAGCCCAGCTCACTTCAGCTACGACTGTTTTGGTTGAAAAGCCTTTGTGATCTAAGTAAGAGGGAAGAGCTCTGCAGCAGGGCAAGGACCAGATGTTTGGGACAGGGAAACTCCAATCACTCCCAA